GACGGCGAGCACACCGAGCAATTGCTGCCTGTTGGCCGGCCCTCTTCGTCTGATTGACGTCGCCCGCGTTATTCCTAGCGACTTCCGCCTGTTCCCAGGATGCTTCTGAAGGACCGTGGTCGTTGCGCTTCCACGGGGGCCATAAGTCACCTGTCGTCACAACAAAGTTTCGAGCGTCTACAACCACCAGTTATGAAATAGTGTCTTCTTATAGGAAGTCGTGTAACATCTTTTTTCTTTTTTTTTTAAGATAAAAGTGTTACATTACATTTTTCTCTCTTTTTAGGATTCGTATATTTTTTTAAAAAGAAGTTTGAGAAATAATTCGTATTTTTGAATCGAGTGAATAATTTCGATCGATTAAATCATTGAATTTGAATTCTTTCTTTTCCTTCTATTCGTTATCTTCACAAAAAATACGTAAGTGATTTAAAAAAATGGACGATCTAAATTTAGAAAAATAAACACGAAACAATGGATATAAAAGTAACGATAAGTGAGAAGATCAATTGCACGAAACGAATAATAAGTAAGAAAGTAAGATTAACATAATAAGAGATTCCTCACCTGAAGAGGACTAGTGGCAGGTGTCTCCTGACCGGAACCAAGCGATATCTCGTTCTGCTCCACGATTACGCTCGTCTTCAAGTATCCGTTGTTGCTTTCAGCCTTCATCCTTTCTCAACCCGTGATATTGAAAATCCCTGGATCAACTGGAGCAGCTAGACACACTGGGCCGAATTTCAAGCGGGGAACTGTGTCAACGACCGATGCAATGTTGGCATCGCGGCTACGATCGATCCGCCGCAGCCAATCGATCATCGATCCTCGATAAACACCTTGAAACCCTTTCGACTCTTTCTTTTTTTTTTTCCCTTTCTTTCTTTTCTCTCTCTCCTCTCGATTTTCTTACTCAACACATTCGAAAAGGGTAACAGTCTTCACTTTGTCGAGAATTGTATCCACGATTCGTCGATACGATTTTCCTTCCTCGTTGATCGAGTTGATCGAGTTGGGAACAAAAAAAAAAAAAAAAA